ATAGATTGTATTTTCAAGTAGAATACGTCCAATCTGATTGGAACGCCGGGTATACTATCACAGTTTTGATTCGTAATGGAATGACATCCGTTCTTGACATGTACATATTGAGGAGGTGGAGGCGAGATGTGTCTAGATCATACCAACGGGCGAAGATCAATTATAATGGTTGGTTCTCGACACTAGATGAATTGCATTATAATCATCTGTGTTGTGCTTTTGCAGCAACGACCAACAACGTGGCGAATGATGATGTCAGAGCTGGTAACCTTATGGAGTGGATCAGGTTCGTTTCTAATGATTTGGATTCAATGGATATGGATCAAAGAAGTGAAAAAAATTCTGGTTGGCACCAAAGTATTCTGGTAGATTCAACTAATGGAGAGGTAGGTAAAATTTCAGGGCTGAAAATTTCTCATCCAAACTACGTGAAAAGAAAACGAGCTCTCTGAAAATTGCTTCAAAAGGGGACTCTGGAAAAGATTTCTAAGAAATTAAAGGTAAATTGTAATTTATATTAGTTATGTTACATATCATTTTATATATTTTAAATTAGTTAACTATAAATCCTGACTATGTAGGTCTCATCAAAACAAAAAAAATATGACATCCTCTAAATCACATGAAAGTTCCACATAACCAATGGTGCATGTTAATCTTTCCACATTGGCTCCAATGTCAAAATCACAGGAATTATTTATACCCACTTCTGTTACTAATTGGGAAGGTAATATGCTGGTAACATATGAGGCGACAAAACGTCGAATCGTCACGAGTGACCCACATCCATACCTAGACTAGCAGAACACCTGAACATGGACAAAATTGTGGTACAATCTTTTTCATATTCAATAATTTGATAATGACTGTTGTTGGTTCACATGTCTAACTAAAATAAATTCTAAAATAGTTGTCATTTGGTTTAAAGTGTTACACAACTCATTTTTTTGTGATGCTTCTTTTGTATGGACAACGACAATCGCACAGGGCAGTTGTTGGACATGAAACTGTTGTGGTGGATTTAGAGCTTGTAACGCCCAGAATATTATTTACTATGTATGGAGATCGACTTTATTTCCATAAATATTAAATTTCCTAATTTGATGCATTTATTATTACTATTTGCATTAAATTGAGTAATTAGTATTAAGTTTAAGCCATGGAAAATTCATTTTATTTTTAATTATTAATGTCGGATTTAGTTAGCGCAAGTATCGGTTCTATTTTTTAAAAAAAACCGAGCCTTGGATTAATCAGAATTTTATTAAAATGGACCGAAGCCCGAATATTTAATCTATTCGAGCCTAATCAATTTTTAAGAAGTCTAATTATTTTAGCTGGCCCATTTAAGTTAAGGAGTCTATGTTCGATTTTCTTTCGGCCCATTTCATTTTAGTAAATTAAGTCCATGTTCGATTTTATTTTAGTTCATTTTAAAAATCAAGCCTATGGTCAATTTTTAAATCCCAGCCCAATTACTTAGTAAATTTGACCGACTATTTAATTAGTCCAAGTCCAATTAATTTTATTAACTGAGAATTTAATTCCTAAGTCAACGTGGAATAAATCGAACCCAAGTTGCCGATTTTAAGCTCAAGTGTTAGAATTTTATAAGCCCGGTTTTAAAGAACAAAATCCTACACAAACTCTAGTCTTCTACTTGCCTATAAATAGCATATATCTTCATTTCCCAACATCACAAACCCTAGCCATCATTCACTATTCATCATCATCTCCATTTTCATCTTAAGATCCCTCGTCATCCATCACTCCACCTTTATTTTTCGGCCATCCACCAACCCTCCGGCGAGCCCGCGTTCAGCCTCGGTCCACGTCTCCTTCCCACCGACAGCATGTACTCGTCACAGAGCCAAGCCGCCAGTATCATTCACGAGCAACAACACTCGTCCACGGTTCATACCAGTGCCGTCCATGAAACCCCGCGTTTGTACATCACCGGTCTCGCTCAGTTCACGTCGCGTCCGTACGCCCGCACGTCGATCGATATTTGTACGCCCATTCACAGCTCGTTCACGCTGGTTCCACGCTCGTCCCGTCTGTACTACGCATTCCCGTGGCCCAGCAAGCAGTACCAGCGCACCTATCAGCAGATCCGCGTTCGTACGCGTCACTGCCGTCTGTACGCCCGCAACAACGAGCCGCGCCCATTCAACCTGAGTCCAGCGATGAGTCGCGCACCAAGTCAGCTAAATTCCACCAGATCCGGCCCGAGTTGCCACACCTAACTCGAACCACAGTTAAATCGAGCTGCACATAATTATGCGAATGATCGACCGACTCCGAATGAGTCGTCGGTCTAGTTTAGTCGAACCAGACCAGACGGTCCGGACCAGCACGAGGAGCATTTGAGAATATTTTTGGAGACGTTTAGATGAGAGAGACTGTACGCCAAGTTCTCTAAGTGTGAGTTTTGGCTCGATCGAGTGGCGTTCCTCAGTCACATCGTCACGCCGAGGGCATAAAGGTTGATCCTAGGAAGATCAAGTCAGTTAGGAACTGGTCAACACCGAAGTCTGTTACCAAGATTCAGAGTGTTCTCGTGTTTGCAGGCTACTATAAGAGGTTCATTGAGGGGTTTTCGAAGATAGCCCTACCTTTGTCACGCTTGGCGAGAAAATGGGTGAAGTTCAATTGGAGTAGTCATTGTGAGTCGATCTTCCAGGAGCTCAAGGAGAAGTTGACTACAACGCTCGTGCTAACTATACCAGACCCTACACGAGGCTTAACTATCTATAGTGATGCCTCGAAGTAGAGAATTGGGTGCATGCTGATGCAGGAGGGCAAGGTTGTCGCATACGCTTCACGACAGCTGAAGCCCCACGAGGAGAATTACCCAACTCACGATCTCGAGTTGGCAGTTGTTGTTCACGTACTCAAGATATGAAGGCATTATTTGTACGGTGGTCGAGGTAAGATTTACACCGATCACAAAAGTCTGCAACATATATTCACGCAGAAGGAGCTCAACATGCGCTAGAGGCGATGGTTGGAGCTGGTGAAGGATTATGACTGCACCATTCAGTACGATCTGGAGAAAGCGAACGTGGTAGTTGATGCCTTTAACCGAAAAGGAGAGGGGCGAGTTGACCTGCATGATCACCCAACAGAGTCAGCGTATGCGAGAGTTCACTCGGATGCAGTTAGAGGTAGTTGAATCACTTCCCAAGTTGAAGGTAGTAGGAGGTATTCGATCGATGAGAGTGTGGCCCATGCTTCGAGACCGAGTTTGGAGAGATCAGTCTGTAGACGAGTTCGTCCATTCGATGAGAGTGAAGGTTCTCGCTGATGGAGTATGCAGATGGTACCTCAGAGTACAAGGGGAGGATCATTGTGCCGAACGTCGAGGCTCTAAAGAAGGAGATCTTGACCGAGGCACATAATGCACCCTACTTAGTGCACCACAGTAGCACCAAGATGTATCTAGACCTGAAAGGGTCATTTTGGTGGAGGAGTATGAAGAGAGATGTAGCAGATTTCGTGAAGAAGTGTTTGGTTTGCCAGCAGATAAAGGTCGATCACAAGTTTCCCCTCAGGTTGGTGCAGCCATTAGAGGTCCCACTATGGAAGTGGGAGCACGTCACCATGGATTTCGTTACGGGACTACCCAAATCGAATCAGTAGCACGATGCAATTTGGGTAATTGTGGACAGACTGATGAAGTTGGCCCGTTTCTTGCCCGTGAGGATGATGATGTCCATGGAGCAGCTTTCCAGTATCTATATATGTTGGATTGTTTGACTCCACCAGAGTAGCCGAGACCATAGTATCATACCGAGATCCCCATTTTACCAGACACTTCTGAGAGAGCCTCAATGAGTCCATAGGGACACAACTGCAGTTCAGTACAATATTCCATCCACAGACCGATGGACAGTCGGAGCAGACTATCCAGACACTCGAGGACATGCTTCGAGCTTGAGTTCTGGACCGTGGCAGTACAAGTGTGGATTTTTTGTCGCTGACTGAGTTCGCGTACAACAACAATTATCATGCGTCGATCAAGATGGCGTCGTACGAGGCTTTATACGGTCGCAAGTGTCGATTCCCCTTTATTGGGATGAGGTCGACGAACGACATGTTCTCGATCCGAGACAGTGGAGAAGGTCGCCTTAATCCAAGAGACGACGAAGGTGGCATAGGATCGACAGAAGTTCCACGCTAACAAGCGTAGACAAGACCTCCAGTTCGAGCAGGGAGATAAAGCCCTTTTAAAGATCACGCCGTTAAAGGGTGTGGTTCGCTTCGGGAAGAGGGGGAAGTTGCAGTCCCGTTTCATAGGCCCATTCGAGATCATCGAGCGTGTGGGCGAGGTATCATACCGTTTGGCGTTGCCTCCCGACCTTTTGGGTGTGCACAACGTCTTTCACGTGTCAATGTTGAGGAGTTGCGCGCATGATCCTGGGCATGTGTTGAGTTACAGCGAGATCGAGGTCGGGCAAAACCTGACTTACGAGGAGCAGCCGATAGCGATCTTAGACTGAAAGGTCCAACAGCTGAGGAATAGAGATGTATCACTAGTTCGAGTTCGCTGGAGCCGACCCGATGAGGCCGAGGCCACTTGGGAGCGAGAAGAGGAGATCCGAGCTCGTTACCCAGAGTTTCAATTCTGATTAGTACTATGTATTTTTTGATTCCTAGTTTCTAGTCGAGTCGGACTAATGTTTAGTTTTGGCATTTCCGAGGACAGAAATAAAATAAGGAGGATAGATTGTAACGCCCAGAATATTATTTACTATTTATGGATATCGACATTATTTTCATAAAAATATTAAGTTTCCCAATTCGATGCATTTAATATTGCAATTTGCATTAAATTGAGTATTTAGTATTAAGTCTAAGCCATGGAGAATTCATTCGATTTTTAATTATTAAAATGGATTTATTTAACCCAAATATCGATACTATTTTTTAAAAAAACCAAGCCTTAGATTAATCAAAATTTTACTAAAGCGGACCGAAGCCCGAATATTTAATCTATTCTAGCCTAATCATTTTCGAGCGAATCAAGTTATTTTAGCCAGCCCACTTAGGTTAATTGAGCCTATGTTCAATTTTATTTCGGCCCATTTCATTTTAGTAAATCGAGTCCATGTTTGATTTTATTTTAGTTCATTTTAAAAATCGAGCCTATAGGCGATTTTTAAATCCGAGCCCAATTAATTTAGTTAATTTGATCAACTAATTTAATTAGTCCAAGTCCGATTAATTTTATTTACATCGTGGAATAAATTGAACCCAAGTCAATTTAATTTTACTAGCCCAATTTTAAGCTCAAGTGTTAGGATTTTATAAGCCCAGTATTAAAGCCAAAAATCCTACACAAACCCTAGTCCTCTACTTGCCTATAAATAGCACATATCCTCATTTCCAAACATCACAAACCATAGCATCATTCAATATTCATCATCATCTCCACTCTCATCTCAAGATCCCTAAATCCATCACTCCACCTTCATTTCTCGGCCATCCACCGAGCTCCGGCGAGCCACCGTCCAGCGAACCCTCCGGCGAGCCTGCATTCAGCCTTGGTCCATGCCTCCCTCCTGCCGACAGCATGAACCCGTCCCAGATCCGAGCCGCCAGTATTGTTCATGATCACCAGCGCCCGTCCACGGTCCGTACCAGTGTCGTCTCTGCAACCCCGCGTTCGTTTATCGCCGGTCCAACTCAGTTCACGACGCGTCCATACGCTTGCATGTCGATCTGCATCTGTACGCTCGTTCAGAACTCGTTCACGTTGGTTCCATGCTTGTCCCGTCCATACGACGCGTTCCCGTGGCCCAACGAGCAATACCGGCGCACCCAACAGTATATTTGCGTTTACGCCCCGCAACAACGAGCCGCAACCGTTCAACACGAGTCCAACGACGAGTCTCGCACCGAGTCAATCGATTTCCGCCGCATCCAGCCCGAGTTGCCACGCCGAATCGGACCACGGTTAAATCGAGCTGCACATAGTTAAGTGAATGATCGATCGAATCCGAGTGAGCCGTAGGTTTAGTTTAGTCGAACTAGTCCGGGCACTCCAGACGGTTCGAAGAGAATTTCAGTTCAGCCGAATCAGTCCAGGTAGTCCGGATAGTTCGGGGGTTTAGTTCGGAACATTGGTTTGAGCGTGAACCGAGACTCTAGTTTTCCGAACAAGTAAGATAAATTTCAGTCAGATTAAATTTTCTGATAGATTTAAGATTTCAGTCAGATTTAAGATCCAGATTTAAGATCTATATATATTTAAGGTTTGAGACAAATTTAGACTAGTCAGATTAGATTCAGTTAGATTATAGTTCCAGACTTAGAAAATATTTTCAGAGAACTCTCGTATGCCTCAAAGATAATAAATTTTCAAAACAACAAAATCAGCTCTTAAATCCCTAAAATGATTTTTAAAGCCGAGTGAACGAACCTAGACAAATGAGATAATAAAGATTCGAGTTTTATTCTAAGCCCAGTACTTAATATATTTCGCTCATAATTTTGTAGCCTGAGGAGAGTCAAGCCTCCGCTTGCTACTAGTCCAGGTAGTCCGAATAGTTTGGGGGTTTAGTTCGGAACATTGGTTTGAGCGTGAACCGAGACTCTAGTTTTCCGAACAAGTAAGATAAATTTTAGTCAGATTAAATTTTAGATAGTTTAAGATTTCAGTCAGATTTAAGATTCAGATTTAAGATCTATATATATTTAAGATTTGAGACAAATTTAGACTAGTCAGATTAGATTTAGTCAGATTATAGTTCCAGACTTAGAAATATTTTCAGATAACTCTCGTATGCCTCAAAGATAATAAATTTTCAAAACAACAAAATCAACTCTTAAATCCCTAAAATTTTAAAGCCGAGTGAACGAACCTAGACAAATCAGATAATAAAATTTCGAGTTTTATTCTAAGCCCAGTACTTAATATATTTCGCTCATAATTTTGTAGCCCGAGGAAAGTCAAGCCTCCGCTTGCTACTAGGTATTTCAGCTTTCGCATTCAACAGCTCCCAGATGGGGACCCATGTACTGTGTATCTCATTCTTTTTAATTGTTTATACTGTTTGAGGTATTTGCGTAAGTAGATTGAGGGATCGAGACAGATGAGTGATCCCGTCTTGGTCAAGATGGCAGATGTCAGTTATGACTTAGATGAGTGCTGCGATGTCCAACCTAAGTCTAGCGTCCAGATGAGTAGTGCGATGCCCAGCCTGGATTTTTGTGGGAGGGGACCCCCAGAATGTGCACATGAGTACCGGATTACAGATAGTCCCATAGTTAGCCAAATTATTTATGCATATGCCGATTTCATGATTTGCTATTAAATGTGATGACTATTCAGTGTCGGTTCCAGCAGAGCACGTGAATTATTTATGCTCTCCAACTTCAAGATATTTTTGTGATAGCATGTCATGTAGTATTTGAACATGTTTGGATTATCTATGTTTGTTTGATGCTTGTATGTGTTTTTTGAACTTGTATTTGCTTCCGCATGTTGGACTTGTGTTTCAGATTTCTGATTTGTGTTCCAGATTTCAGACTAGTATTTCATATGTCAAACTTTTAGAATATGCATGTTTAATCCGGTATTATTCATGGCCTTAATTCTAGAATGAATTTACTTAGTTGTATGCATGATAGAGTAATGAGCTATAGAGATAAAGATTAAAGTGAGTAGCATCCCGCATATTAAAGTTAAAGTATTTTTGAAAAATTTATAAGAGTTTTCGAAATAAATCAGTGCTTTCCTAATATAACGCGAAAAATTTGCTCTGATTTTAGTAAGTCTAGGCGGGATGTTAGAGAGCTAATGTTTCATTTGTATGTCTGGGGTATGCTTATTCTATGTGGTATTTTCTATTATTACTCTCATAAAGGAAGCTCTTTTATTTTCATTATTTTTCATGCTGATATGGTTCAAACAACTCGTACAGGTAGTTCAGCTGTTTTGACAGTAATTCGCTCTATCCACAATGATCATGGTCGTATAAGCCATTCAATAAGGAGCATGGTGTGGGGCACAAAAAGGAATCATGTTCGCATTTTGTCATCATGCTAATGCTGCTAAAGCTTAATCGGAAAAGGATTTTCCTCTTAGTTGAGTAGTAGTTGATGTCCCAGACTAACTGATTGTAGGTTACATATACAACTATTTGTATATTTATGACAATTCATTTTTTGTGAAAAGCTAATGGCTAAATTAGTTAATTGTTTTTCAACTAACAGAATGTACTAAATGTGATCAACAAATGATATATGAGATACAAGAATGGATTAAGACAGAAACTCAGGGTACTAAAGGCAAAACGCAAGTAAAGTTGGATACATATATGAAATTTTGCCTCATTGTGCATAAGAATTTCATATTCTAAATGTTTCTTAGTTATGACAAAAAGTATAAGGCATAAAAGTGAGGATTCATCATTCTTAATGCAATCTTTGTTTTGTTTGGTCTTTTTTGATCATATGTAATCAATGTAACGTCGTAACTCTCTTGGCATACAATTACCAAACTGTAATACATACACAAAACACTATAGCTCCACAAATACTAATTGAATTGAAGCTAAAAAAATGGAGAAATGTCAAATAATTGGGCATGGACAAACTTCATCAACAATTTAAATATCCTCCAACAACAGACCCAACAATTCCATGCACAAAACAGTTCCTTCTCCAACAACGACAATTTCTTTTACTTCCGCAGTGAGCGAGAAAAAGTGAACTCAAAGTAAAGATCGACCTTTTTACTTCTGCAAGAAAATATCATATCTTCCTTGCATATAAAATAAATTCAAATATATATATATATATATATATTTCACAAATAGCCTTTTATTGCATTTTATTCAGATAAACCATTGGTCATGTAATGAAATAAAAACTTGATCTTTAACTGCAAAATACATCAGAAAACACGAACAACTACAAATTTAAGACCCTACTAAATTGGCTTCCATCCTCTGCAAATTTTCCCATATACATCACTCTGATACACGAAGTTATTCCAGCTTCGACCTCCTTCATGGGACCCACATCTTGTACTACGAGACTAGAAACGATTTGGACACCTTCAAGTTGTTGTTGGCCATCCACTGATCCTCCTCGACTGACACAGTCACTGGCCGTTTAGGATTTCATCAACGTCTCTAGTGTCTTAGGGCTCGACGAGACGGACCACGGAGGGGAGACCGAGACCTCGATCTCGACGAGCCTTCTCCTGTCACCCAGAGCCAGTCCTTCACATTATAAGGCCCTGGGCCAAACACAAATGTAGTGCCCTAAACTTTTTTTTAGATAAAGATTCTATACAATATTGACGTTCCAACACTTGTTTTCAATAAAATAATATTTTTTTATTATATATCAAATATGAAATACAACTGATGACAAAACTAACACCACCAAAAAATAAGTAATATCTTAGATTTTATTAATTATTAAGTAATGATATCTTTCACATTTCAAAATGAAATTGTATATTAAATATAGCTTAATATTTATAAATCAAATCTTATATAAAACCTTAATTCTAAGTAGTGACCTAAATGTAACCATAACCTAAAAATAATGAGCAAACAATAAATAAAATAAATAGTAACTATAGAAAGATAATGTAATAATATGTAATAAAGTGAGAAGAAAGGTAACTAAAGTTATCTATCCAAGAGAGACAAAAAATACGTGTAATTTTCTCTATATAGTATGTATGACTGAGTGAGAGAATGATAAAATATGAATTGTTACAAGATGTCTTAATTAATTGGGCCGTGGGCTAATATGAAAAAAAAAAAAACAAAAAAAACTTAAGAAAGTACAAAAAGGATCTGTCTTAATTAAATGCTCTAGTAGAATGACCTGCAAAGGTCACGCCAAGTCATCATTAGATAACCATCATATAATTCAAAAACTCATGTCATGTAGAGATTCATGATTTGCCTTACAAGTTTTAGTGCACTGGAATGTTTGTTTCTCTTTAACAAAAAATGAACACGTTTTGATGTGCTTAGCTTTTGAGAACTTATTAGAGTTTTGCATTGTAATAGCGTCTGTATACCATTATTGCTAATAAAAAAGAAATGTAATATATGGTACTTTAAGAAAATGAAAGATAAAATAATCATCACCCCTATATATAATTCCCGAATGCGCTGAGCCTACATGACTGCTTCTGGTGCTTCGGAATCCTACTTGGCGAATAATCATGCTTCGTAATTAGGTTTTGACAAATAATATTGATATATTAATAATTAATAATCTAGGTTCGGACATTCTATAAATATTATTTAGCTAACTTAGGTATTTTGATATCACTTGTACTAATATAACCCTTTTATTTTTTGTAATTATACATAGTGAGATACTAAGTGACTAATATAACCCTGACTTTTGATTTGTTTCCTTCAATTAGCTACAGAATTGTAAATTTATTTTAAAAGTTGATAAATTTTTTATTTCTTATCGGTTTTACATATATAATATATCAAATTAATCATCTTTTGATTATCTTCGATTTGACATCCATATTGTATATATGAAATAAATAAATTATATTTATCTTTATAATAATAAAAAAATAATAATATTTATTAAAATTTATAAAAAAATAAAATTATTTCTCAATTGATATATTTATGCTTAATGTAGTTATATTTATAAGTTAAAAAAAGTTATTATAATATAACACAAAATATATAATAATATATATATATATTTTTGTAAAAGGTATTTAAATTTTCATCTACTTTTTCTTATTATTTTAGATTTTAAGAAAAAAAAAAAAATTAGCGTGTAATACACGAGCGTTGTACTAGTTTTAATGTAATTTTGAAACCTAATTGTTAAACCAAACATGTACATGTGTCAATACGAAACACAAATTTGTATCAAATAGAGTAATGCTATAGGTACATAATATTGTACATAGGAGTGTACATAACACTCGCATTGAGTGGGACCCACCAAAAATTAAAAATTAAATGAACCCCACTCCATGTGAGTATTACGTACAACTATGTACATTTATTATGTACGCATAGCATTACTCTTTGTTTTAACTTAACCATTCTCCTTATAGAGGAAAAGTGAGAAGCTAGTTTGTTATGAAGTACAATAATTTGCTTACATTTTAAAGAGAGATCTGATTCCCGCATCAGATCTTTGAATCCATTCACCACTCACCTCCTCCTTCTCATCACAATTTTTACTGATCTTGTGAGAAACAAAGCTCAACCCTTTCTCAACTGAGGCTTTAATCAATGGAAAGTGATTTCCACCGGTCCGTTTCTTCTCGGCCTGCCCGAAGAAATCAACCCCAGCAAGCCAAAGGTACGAAAACATATTCTCGTTCCCTTCAGAATCACCACATGTGTTGTTTATTTTTGCGAGTTTTTTGGTTCATAAAATCAAGAAACATGAATGCAGATAGTGAAGCGGGGTTGTTGTACAGTGGGAAATTGACCCAAGAAATTGCGATGAGGATTATATGGAAAAGGGGTTTCGTTCGGTTGATTCTTACGGGCGGGATCATCTGGATGTTGTTAATTCTCACTGTTCTGTTGTTTCATATATGGTCTTGCCAATCTTCTGTTGCCTTCTTTTCGGGTAATTACCAGTTATTTGCCCGTCTCTGCGCAGTATTTGTCTGCAAAGGCTTTCGTTTTGATGTGAACTTCCGATTGTTGTTTTTCGAAGCTCAATTGCAACTCTCTCTGTAAAATATCATAAGTGTGTTTGTTTAATGTTTAATGCTATTGTGAATTTTTGCAGAAAGTGTGAAAATATGTCTTTCTTTGGCTTCATTTACGTTTGCGTAACTATTGGTGTAGTTTCTGAATCAGGGGATGGATGATATCTAAATGTAAAATCTTGTAGGAACAGGTTATCCTTGCTTACATTATGGTAGTTTTTCCAGTGTGCAACCAGAAACAGTACAATTTTATTGTAGTTCCATTTTTTACCTGGGGAGTGTCTATGGAAAAGCTGTGATTTGAAGAACAAGACACTAAAATTTGAAGTTGGTGTCATCAGGATCTGGTGTGCATGTTCAGATTTTACTACGTGTATCTATAAGAAAAATGCTTCTTTTGTCTTGTATATTTCGTAGGTGGAAGTTTTATGAAATTAAACAGGTACATCTGTTCTTATATGCTGTGATTAGAAATTGGAATGCTCATATTACGATATGTATTCACAGTTTGCTCGTAACATCCTACAAATTTCCTTTCTCAACAGGAACATGATTTTTACCGTTAAACCATTTCTTTTGATCTACAGCTCTTTGTAACAAAGATAGCAAGGTCTATGGCGTGTTAAACACCATGGGACTCGTGACACCACCTCATCGTAAGAATCGAGAGTTTCCCTTTAAGCGTTTTATTCTCTCTCCCTTTCTCAGCCCGCCAACTTGATTGATGATTAGGAAACACTGTCTAATCTATTACATATTAGGTTGTCCTATTCCTGTTCTTGATGACCCAAAAAAAGTAGTCATTCCTAAGAAGAGAACACCAGAAAGATTAGTACAAAGGCTGTCATATTTTACTGAAGATAGTGCTGCAACCAATGGATCTCACTCGTCTCCTCTGTTTGGCGGGCACCCAACTTGGCAACAGAGAGAAGAAAGCTTTAAACTCAAGCCAACCATGAAGGTACTATGGCTGCTCTTGAGTGAAAACGATCTTTGTCTTTCCATCTTTAGGATTGCAGCTTGCTTTTGAATATTATATTTAAAAAGACAACTGAAATAACCCGCCTTTGTCATAGTGTTCTTAAGTGATAATTTTCTGTATTTATTCAAAGATATTCAATTAAAAAACATGCCAAGTGTTTTCTCTGTAAGTTAATGGTTGGCGTAGGATAATAGAATGCTTACTGAAAATGGTAATGTATTTTAAATTTAGGCATTGGTATTCATATATTAAGATACTCAGTCATAAACTGATTAATTAGAAATATATGCTCATTGCTCCGATTATCAGTTTTCTCATATTGGTTTACTTGTAACAGAACATAAGGATAAGAAGTTGAATAAAATGAGGAAAGATTTTTTTTTTTTTTTTTTTCGCAGTTTTAGTGATCCACAAGCACGTAGTGTTTGTTATACACTAGATGTAGCTTATATTTGATACTAAACTACTCGAGATGTAATATGCCCTTTAGGTGCATTGTGGGTTTATGAGAGGCGGAGGAGAGGAGATGGATCCACGGGATATTGAATACGTAAAAAAATGTAAATTTGTTGTTGCGACTGGCATTTTTGATGCTTATGACTCGCCTCACCAGCCATCCAATATCAGTAAACGTTCAGAGTCTCTGTTCTGTTTTCTAATGGTGGTTGATGAAGTGTCTCTCAAATTCATCAAAGGGAATGTTAGTGTGAGAGAAGATTCTCAAGGAGGGCAGTGGGTGGGTATCTGGCGTTTAATTCCACTGAAGAACCAGCCTTATGATGAACCTAGAAGAAATGGGAAGGTTCCAAAGATATTGACACACAGATTGTTTCCTCAAGCCGAGTACAGCATCTGGATTGATGGTAAAATGCAGCTTATAGTGGACCCATTGCTTCTATTAGAGAGGTAAATATGATATATCATTTAAATAGGATAATTACAAAAACTACTCTTATGGTTTTGAGATAATTGCAAAAGAGAAGCGGAGATACTTAACTTAAAAAAAAAAAAAAAAAAGAGAAAATCCAGTTTGATGATGTCTTGAATTTGAGGCTAACCGTAAGAGATTTATGAATGTAATTTTGTTTGCTTATGAAAGGATAAAGTATTAAAGATGATCAAGCTTCATGGGTCGTTTTGCGATCCTGCCATCTTTTTTTTTTCCCTTCTTCTCATGCTTTCTACTTCAGAGCACCCTCCCAGTATCTTAATTTGAGTTGAAAGTATTGCGAATATTCTCATTTTAATGAGAAAGTCTGTCTACTTTCTTGGCTGATTTCTAGCTACGAATATCAGAAATATAGGTTATAAAAATGTTCTACAACCTTATAGATTAATTTGACGTCACGCTCTTTGTTTGACATGAAGTTATGGTGCTTTAATTATACAGTATTTTTTTACATCAACATCTTCAAACATGATGATCAACTGAAGAAAAACGCGTTTGTTTATATTATCTTTTAACGTACAGATACTTATGGCGTGAGAAAAACACCTTTGCGATTGCTCAGCACAAACATCACAAAAGTATATATGAGGAGGCTGATTCAAACAAACGAAGAAAACGTTATGCTCGCCCGCTAATTGATCTACACATGAAAATATATCGTTATGAGGGGTTGGAGGCATGGAATCAGTATGGAAATACCTTGAGCGGTAAGATCAGCAATTTTCCCATTCTATGTTTCTACTTGTCCGTGCTATTTATTATCTGTACACCACTGTTTAAAGACCCATTTGGTAGCAGCCTATATTCTTCCTGGTGACCCTGCCTACTTAGGGGTGGTCGGATCTCTTGCTGAAAAAAAATCACATCTGCCAAAGGGAAGAAAATTGAAAAAATGAAACTTAAAAAAATTTCAATTTTAATTGCCAACTTTTGCTTTTCTTTTTATGTTCTTTTCTTTTTCTTCTGCTTGAGGTGCTTCTTATTTTATAGAAGTGCTTTTAGATCTGTAAAGAAAGAAAAGTTCAGTTTTACATGTTTGCTATTTGATATTTGTTAATTTATCTTTCTGCCCAAACGAAAACTCGTTAGATAACTGCTTTTTCCATTTGTTACTTTGATTGACTTAGCTTTACGTTTCTTTTTCCAAACTCAAAGAACTTTCTGTTGGTAACTAAGTCCCATTTCTACTACAACTCCTCAAAAGTATAGTTACACTGCAAACTAAAAATGACCGGTGATTGTTCATTGCTGCGAGACGATAACATTTCATTTCGTCTTGTTGTTATTGTTAATGCAGATGTGCCTGAAGGAGCAATCATCATACGCGAACATACTGCGTTAAATAATCTGTTTAGCTGCCTGTGGTTCAATGAGGTTCACCTCTTTACACCAAGAGACCAACTAAGCTTCGGATATGTCGTCTATAGGTTAGGAGGTCTTTTCAAATTTTTTATGTTTCATAATTGCGAGTACAACTCGATCTTTGTGCTGCATCCACATAATCGGGAGCACTCATCCAAAATCGAATGGGCAAAAACTATAGCAGAACTGAAAAAGCAACCCGATTTGATAGAAAGCAGGGGAGGATTAGGTTTGTGGACACCTTATCCTGGGAACCTTGATTTGGTTGTATTGCCACCGGTAGCCAGAACTTCAAAAGCAGGCTGATTTTTAAAAATACTTTGTTGTACTTTTTGCATTCCCACTTATTATTTCATCACATCTATCTTTGTAGCTCAGTGATATGAAAAAAAAAAA